TACTAAATGTGATATAGCGCCGCTCACTATCCACTGACTTGCACGTTACTACGGTGCAGAGGACAGGGTAGCCCCCCTACCAAACTTAAGCCGTCAATTAACCTATGGCATTATAAGCAGTTTGGTCTGTGTACTGATTACAGATGACTAGTAGGGGGCCTTGAATGGGAGAAGTAAGAATTCGTCACATCTGAACTCACTCAGACAGCCATCACACGCCCGGTAAAGCACTGTACGCGCGTTTCATCCTTTCGGGAATCGTCAGCAATGCGCAATCTATCGGACTCTGGTAGGGCTCGAACCCGCAACTCGACTGTTGCCAGTCCGTGGTTGAGACCACTGCGCTTAAGTTTGGTAAGTTCGTCGCTTAGTGAGTGGGCTACTCTGTCCTCTGCACGGAAGTAAAGTGCAAGTCAGTGGATAGTGAGCAGCACTATATCACATTTAGTAACGTATTCACAATGGTCGTTGCCGTCCCCCGTAGCGCAGTGGTCTCAACCACGGACTGGCAACAGTCGAGTTGCGGGTTCGAGCCTTACCAGAGTCCGGTGGAAAGCGCACTGCTGACGATTTCCGAAAGGATGGAACGCGTGCACAGTGCTTTACCGCGCGTGTGATGGCTATCTGAATGAGCTTAGATGTGACGAATTTCCGCCTATACCATTCAAAACCCCCTACTAATCTACTGTAAAACTGTATCGATTAGCGTGGAACGCTGCACGCTTCGGCATGTGATTTGCAGCTTCGAAGTGCAAAGTGTTGTGACAGCACTGGTCCGATCAGCTACCTGTGCTGGCTGTCATTTTAAAAGGGGGAACTTCAGAGGCCATCCGTAGGGCCCTAAACAAAGAAATAACAAGGGTGATTTACTAGAAATGTCAAGCAGTCCGTTCGACACTGGTGCAGTTGAGTGACTCACTCCCCACAGATAGGAGGACATGGGGCGTGAAATCGACTTGCGTAATATCGAAATCTTTAGAAAGGGTTTGCGATCTGCACTCCAAAGGCTGACTGCTGAGGCGTCGGAAATTGCCAAAGCCATCAGCTGCGTAGACAGAGTAGATGTTGTGCAATTATCGAGTGTGGCGAGCTGTCTCAACCGGCCAGTCTGACCGGCGTTGGCGGACTGACCTGGGTCAGAGCGCCAATATCAAAGCACCCACACTGAGGTAGCAAACAGAGGTTAAGTGTGATGATCTCGTGCAATGAACCACCTGGGATCTTACCCTCTCTAATGTGCCGCTTAAAATAACACTTTGACCTGTAAGATTGTTAACCTCCTGCCACCATCTCGATAACCGCAATTATTATCCCCCTTGTTCGCTTAGCCTGGAGAAGCTTTAGTGTCGAAGGCAATACGTTGGTCTCTAACTACACTATGGACAAGTTTGTTTGGTTTGGACTCATTTTCAAAAAACTGCACCTTTCTTTGTTTAAAAAGGTTGTTCATTTCTGGCAAAACATGTTTGCGGAAGATTAGGGTGGTGAGAAAGTTAGTCAAAGCTGCCGGCGATCTACGAAGAGCCATTTCGTCACGGGTGGTAACTTTACACAACCTAGGGTCGAACACACTAAACGGTTATGATATGTACCGTAACCCTAGTAACGTGTTCGGCCTGGTTGTGTCATGGATGCGTACCAATCAGGATGGTACTCGCGGCTGCACAGGGGCTGCACAAGTCCGCAGTTTGCAAGCCGCTCAGTCAGCTAATTTTCCATCCCATAGGATACCGTACAGACTAGCAAATGAGAACCGATGCTATCTCATTAACCTGCTACATACTGGTTGCAGTGCCGTACTGCACGTAGTATGACGGCCAGTTACGCTGCACATAACTCTTGTGGGCTTAAACACAGGCGGCCACCTTCCAATGCGAATTTCACTCTCAATTTCTGTAGGACCCTTTTGTCACTTTATTCGCGAGAAGGTTAGAACATTATAGCACTACAGTTCCCCATCAATCGCAATCATTTATCTGTGAGCGTCGATATCCGGATACGTCGATCGTGCGCGCTTTTCGAAGTCGTCCTAACCCTTAACCTGCAGAACTTACAAACGCGATGCAGTCGCATACTCCAGGTAAATCTTGGGTCGCCACTGACGTCTTCACCCCACGAACGCAGGCGATGCTTTCTTTCAGTAACAGAGGTTCCCCTGAAACATTTTGAACCGTTAGAAGTATCGGTTTAACCGACGATGTGCCAAGTTTTGCCCGGATTGATCGAGAAATAGTCTTGATCGAATGCAACGTTTCTGGCCGCAGCGATACCGGAACATTCTTGCATTTCACTGTGGGGTATTTTCTCGTCCCTGAAAGGTCTGCACGAAAGACTGCAAAAGTCGCCTCTCTCATTGCGCCGCGATACCTTTTACTTTTTCTTTTGGATTTGCTTGTAAGCTTGGAGTACACCCGCATCTGAATTGGTGCGACTTTTTACAATGATGGATTTTGTGGGCGCAATTGTTTGCAGAGTGCCTCCCACCACCGTTCCCAGACGTAGTCGGGGGCTTCTGGTTCCGCACACCTGAATTCATACTTTGGTCATTAATAGCTGCGTGACAGAACTGGGCTTCACTTCTGGGACCTGAAACCAACAATTTGGGATCGTTGTTCAAACTAAGAAGCCTGTAGCACACAGATGCAATTTTCTGTGATGTCAGCCTTGGTTCATGTTCCCATTCCACTTGGATGTTGAGTTTTTCTGATAGCAACTGAATTAACTGCAATGGGATTTTTTAAACAAACTGCTGCTGCTGCTGCTGAAGAAGGAACTGCATATGTTCGAATGAAATGACCATGATTGTTAAACACCTTCGTCGCAAGAAAATCCGCTGCCGCCGCTGACGTCTTCACCCCACGACCGCAGGAAGAAGTCCAAAAAAGAGCCGGAAAGAGTCGTATTGTAGGAGAGCATGGCGCAATAAATAGGTTGTGGGCAGCTATTAACACAACAATATAGGAGATGCTAATTAATCTTATTTAACTCAACCCAAATGGTTCAAGCGCATAATCTAACTTGCCGCTGATCCTGCATAGATTCACGTTTTGATCTCTACTCGTGTTCGATCTCTAGTTGTAGCTAGATCCACTTTTTGCGCCAATGCTCCCGGCTTGATCGCTGACTGTAGGCTTTCTCTCTGAAACAGTAAAGTATGACATTATGCATCTGTATCCACAAGCGAAAGTGCACCGTCTGATTACGCCAAATATTCTGTGCCAACTGGCACATTTGACGTCACACTGCATAGTACTCTCAGTATATTCACTTGTTTGGAACATGGATGTAGTGTCAAGGTATCAAATTGAGCCACGCTTACACATGTTCAAATGCCGTATTGTCACCAGAAATACCACTTGTGTAAAACAGTGCAATGAATTCCAAGGTTGTGTTGGTCTTAATGATGATGAATATCGGAAGGATTTGACAGTTGGGGTAGGAGAGCTGGTTTAGATAGACGAAACACAGGTTTGAGATGAAAAGCTCACATGGAAAGGCGTCGAAATTGTTGTTACAGTAGCTGTAACCGAGCTGCTTGTCAGCCAACATTAGTGATTCACTGCAGTGGCCTGATTGATGGGGTGATCACCCTCGTAAGGTCGAGTCTAGAGGTGATGTTGATTCCAGAAGCATGGTTAGGTGCATGAAGCGGTCGTATCAATGGATTAATGGATTTATCACTGGTAAAAAAGCAAATCTTCACAGTTCCTGTGGACAAAGAGTGAAACGGAATGTGAATGTATCAACAAAACACAAAGTGGCAGATATTGGTGAAGTCACCGAAGTTTCACTGGTGTACGTAGTTTGGTTATGTCGTGATGTGTCTCACTGACATTGGGTAAGCCTTGTAGTGCATGTGTTGTAATGTTTCATCAAGCTGGGTTTCGAATTCAGTCAATTCAGAAGTGGAGATGACAGAAATCGTCAGAGCGTTCCACCACTGGGACACACGAAGTGAGAAAAGATGCCGGCGGCACTCCAACTGGCTGTACTGTGTGGCTAACTTCAAGTGATGACCTCGAAGTGAGGAGTTGTGTCGCCACGCGTGCTTTGGATCCTTTAGAATCTGTAACACCAACAGAAGATCACCGCGCAGGCGACGGTATTGACCTCCGAAAATTCCTAGGGTCTGAAGTCTAGACTGGTAAGGGAGGTGAGTCAGGCCCTTGACATTTGTTGTTGCTGTACTTTGTGGAGTCGCAAGAGCAGCAAGACCGTGCTTTTGCTAGGGCTGCCAGAACTGTATAGTGCATTCAAAATGTGACTTTGCGTAAACGTTGAGCATTTGTGAAATGATACATCAAAACGGCCAAGCGCTCTCCGCAAGAGACCCAAGTGCCCCTTGACTATTCTCGCTGCTTTTCGGCTTGTTTTGAGTAACCGAAATCGGCCTGCATGACCACTACAAGATAATTTTCATGGAAGACGCGTTGCGAAAGGTGTTCTCCCAGCCGGTACGCGTAAGTTCTCTGGTGGCATATGCCAGTACTCGAAATTTGGCAGCGTCGAACTCAAGCATGTTCTGAACTGACTAATCGTGAGCCCTGTCGAGGTCACCTTGTAGTGTCATGTGGTCGTTTACCGTCCTGATAGTCCACCAGCTTTTGAGATTTTCCGCAAAGAGTAAAATGTTTGAATCCATCACTTCCACGTGGCCGTTAATGAAGACGAGGATATGCCTTGGTCCTAGAACCAAGCCTTGTGGAGCGCCACATTGCACCTATATCGGGTCACAGAAGGCGCTACAGACTCTCACATTTAGGCGACCTCGAAACAGAAATACACGCATCCAACCCAGGATGGGATCGCTGATCCCACAGCTCTGAAGCTTGAGAAAAAGGATGTTGTGATTAAGACGATCAAACGCTTTCGCGAAATCGAGGTACACAGCGTCAAATCCCTCCTCAGGATTGACAGATTCCGTCAAGTTGGCACGGGATAACAAGATGTTCGTGGTACATGAGTGGTTCCGGCAGAAACAGTGTTGCTCCAGTATGACGCTACTGCATCTTTCCAAGTATCCCATGATGGCCTCTGTAATAGAAGATTACAAGACCATAGAAAGAACTGGGAGGAGTTATCCGGCGGTAGTTGGCCGGTCCTAAATTACAAAGCTTGCGCAAACTCGTACATATGTAAAGTAACTAGGTGACTTCTAGCTTGCTGTACTCAGAATGGCACAAAAGGCACCCGTACACGCCACACAACGGAGGTCAAGAGCAGAATACTGGAGACTTATGAGGAGGGAAACAACCGGGAGCAACTTGCATGTATACCAAGCGTCAAGCCGGAAATCCGCTGCAGTTGGTTACGAAGAACGGAATCAATCAAACAAAGAGTGAAGTATCGTGGGGGCGACGAGGATCTCTGGCAGAAAGCCGCATTGTTTGCCTGGTAGTATGAGTATCGTCGGAACCCACGGTCACTCTCCAAACACTCTACCTGCGGTTGAAAGCTGCATTGATGCTTGAGGTGAGCATTAGCACCATAGCGCGATACTTGGACGGGAGGCTGATAACAATGAAGAAATTGCACACAGTTCCGGAATCCGCGAACACATAGAAGTAAAAATGGTGACGAAAATCCTGTGTTCATAGAACAGCAGTTGGGGTTTTAAGCTAGGAATTCATCACAACTAGACTGACACAGACAGCTATCTCACGCCCGGAAACACACTGTACGGCAGTTTCATCCGTTGGGGATTCGTGCCTCAGCGGTCTTAAGCACAGACTAGTAACAGTCGAGTTGCGCGTTCGAGCACTGCAAGGGCCAGATGGAATGTGCAACGCTGACGATTCCCCGACAATTCTATGTCTAGGCACTGCTGAATTCAGGGGTGGAAGGGAGACGAATGGTGTTGATTGATGAAATAAATTGCGATCTCTTTTGCGCTTGCACCAGAGGCCGTCCACCATGTGCAAGTTGTGCGCTGTGTCAAGTGCCCAACACTCAAGGACAGAACGTTCATCTTATTGGAGTCCTGACGACCGATGGCTTGATAGAGTACACTATCGTGAGAGGAAGTTACAACAAAGAAAAGTGTGGGTAATGGTTGTGTGAACTGTTGGATGTCAGGAGTTCGACTTTTGTCGAAAACTGCCTCCTAAGCTGCGAGAACGCGCCATGCCACACGAATCTAGAACGCGTATGTAAGGAGCAGTGGTACCGTTCGGGCAGCGTCCTGCCCGTTTCCCCATATTCTCTATCACTCAAGACAATTTGGAGCACTTGGAGCATCATAAAAGCATATGTGAAGCAATCTATGAGGCAGAGAAATTCCGAGATGCTTCAGGGAGATCCTAAGGATGTACTTTACAAGACAGAGTGGAGAATGTCTTTCATGGAGCGAACTGTGTCAGAGGAATGAGCCTGCGTGACATCTTAGCACTGCCAGCATAAGATAAATCATGTGAGGAGGAATAAGGGACGTGCAATGCACTGCACTGATTTGCAAATTTCGCCTATTTCGTTGATATAAATGCAGATAAGTTGAACTGGTGCTGTCAATGCTATGCACTGCAAAGAGATTGATTCCACATGCAGCTATGAACGATTGTGTCAGGCTAAGTGCTGTCCCCGCATGTTTCCGTGTTAAGGGTTACGAGACAACCAGAGGGTATCCGGATGATTCCTGCTAATCAGGGCTACATTGCTGCTAATAATGAGAGGTCATGTGTTGTAACTGTAATGTCGCGAGATGATGACACGTAGTTGGTATCACGAAGAGTCATTCTGTTGATTGTCAGGTTATGCATTACTGCGGAAAGCCTGAAGTTGCATAGTGCCGCAGGTTACATATCGCCGAGTGAAGACAGACACTGTGATATACGCGAGGACAACGCGTCGGATGTAAGTCACTGATCCATCTCGGGACGCAAAAACGAGGTTAATCGCTTATTGTCAAGCATTTCAGAGGGGCATGCGGTCGACGGCGTTCGCTTCAGCGCCTAAGTTGTGCCAATGTATGCGGTGCAACATGGGTCGTCCGCCAATTGCTACTGGTGCAGCGTTCAGAGAACACGAACCACTCAAGCGATCAAAGTGGTCGTCATCGCGATCGCCTACACAGTAACCACCGACGTCACAATTATCCCTCCAGTGCAAGCACCTGATAGCAACTGCAGTGTCTCACATTAACTTTGGGCTAGGTGGTATGGGTTACTGCGTTTGGCTTACGGTGCACAGATCTTCCGATACATAAACGCCTAAAAACAAGAATGTCACAGTCGTATCACGGCATAAGCCTTCTCAGTAGAGTGCCACTCATGATGCTTCTCTCTCACCCAGGCGGCCACTTGTCAACCTAGAGTTCAGTAGCAAGATGCGCAGGCCACTTAGATCGCTTTGTTCACAAGCACGCCATAAAATTTTGTCACCCCAGACCCCGATCATTCGCAGTCATACACCTGTGACTGTCTTGATATCCGGACACACCGAACCTGCCCGAGCACTGGTAGGTCGTCCTAACAATGTCATCCCATGACCTTGGTCTTCTGATGTTCTTATTTAGAAGTATAAGTGGAATTTCATTTATAAAACTATATGCTCGAATTTCCCGCTTCGTGCCGAAGATGTAAAGTATGGAGAGCGATTAGTTGCAACTAACTGGACGCATACCAATTACCATGTATATATCGCTGATAAATCACCATGTCTCACTCCATTTTATTGGTACAGTCAATATTTAATTCTTCTCTTCATTACGGACATCCTACGGAACATGTCAAGCGTTATCTGCTTGACCCGTTATATACCTGTGTACTGCTATCTGCGACTGTAGACTATGTGTCCACAGACCGTTAGGTAGGAAATTGAGTGTTATCAACCTCCGGGAATTGTGGGCTTTCAGGTACGTAGGAAGAAACTGAGATGTTGCTCGTCTATATGCGGTGTCGGCCAAGTACCTTTGCTGGAGAAGAGGCGGTGAAATGTACAGACAAAGATGCTGAGCGACAATGGAGTGACCCCCATGTGTGAACACAGCACTAAACTGAGTATGGGATACGAATTCAGTTGATGCGCACCGACTTGCGTGTCAGTTGTCCTTACGTTCGGTCCGCACCAGTCCGCCCATGCATGTGCGTACAAATCAGTGGATGCAAAATTCCGACAGTCCGGTCGCAGTATCTCATTTGATTCAGGGATCATCAAGTCGGCGTACTGCATCCACCATGAGGGTAAGCGACGCCAGTTGTAACAAATCAGGGCCTACTCGCCTTGTAACCAAATTGCCACAGTTGTATTTCGGCACTAGCCCTCTCAACGGAACGCCGCTCAAGACGACTCTCTATAACCCAAGACGACCACCTTCCAACTTGAATTTCGGTTGCGCAGGCTCCTTATGTCATTCTACTCGCAAGCTCGTCTCATCGCCCCTGCTCATTCGCAGCCATGCACCTGTGACTGACTCGCTATCCGGAGACAGTACCGCCGAATGCCCGAGCGTTGGTAAGTCGTCCAAAACCTTGGGCTGCGCCAGTGCCAAACTAGCCATACTATCGCTAATGGCGTATCGCATTACCTTGTTCGCAGCCCCCACCCAAACTTTGCCCTTCGCAAGGCAGGCCTTTACGTACATCGTAGTCCACTTATATCTTGTCGCATCACGTGTTTGGAAAACCTTGTGCCCCTAAGCTGCGCAGAACTATACCATTTTAAAGGTACGCTAGCGCACTGTACGAATCCCGCGCAGCGCTTTCAAGTCAGCGAGAAGTCGTTGACACTCACTGGTCATAGGACGTTAGCCAATGGGACACCGGTTGGAAGTCCCGAGCAAAAGCGACAGACAATCCAATGAAAGTGGTCAAGTACCACATCCTGTTCTGTCTTGATGCACATCTGAAGTAAACCTCGATGATTGGTCTCCAAACCGAAATCGTTCAATGGGCAACTTGTGATGCCTGTCTAGGGAGGGAAGCCTAGCTACCACGTGATCCGAGGCATACGCTGTAACCAGTGCGGACAGACATACTAACCAGCACATGAAGCGGTCTATACTTAGTGATCGCTAACGCCTACCAGATGATGGCTTATTCAGCGGTCTAACAATGGTGACGTAGACAGGCACTATTCTAACTGGTATTCCGCAGTCCCTGAGGTCTGAGGGAGTGAGGCAGGCCTACATTTGCGGTTGGTCAGGCATGCGCCGTGGCATGGACACTGCACACCCAAACCTGAATCAGCAATGGCTGCTAGGCGGTTAGACAATGTTGTGCGACTGTTATTGCGACGATCATGGGGACATTGTTCCCATTGCAGTTGGTAGACCAACCTGAGGCTGGACAATGAAAGTCCTATGTTTGCTTACTTCTATCACAGTTGGTGATTAAACACAAACTAAGCGGATTCCAAGTGTGGCGTTGACACGACGTTAGTGAGTGTTCGTTTGTCTCCACACCCATGGGCGACTTTGTTAATCTGTTATCGCTTCAGCGTCTCCATGTATGGCGTTATTTAAAGGTCATAGGAACCTATGTATTCGTAGGATAATTAGGCTTTACTTCCATATGGTCGCCCATATGTGTTGAGATGCTTTGACAAGTGGCTCTCCGAATGGCACCATTAGTAGCACAGTCCATGCAGATGGAACCTCCCTATAACGTCCATGGACTGGAATGCTATCCTCATGAAATCGGCATTACTCAACAAAGAACCGCCTAAAGGGGCTACAATGACTACCGTATTTATACATGCCATATCATTTTTCTGGAAAAAAACGCAAGGCTGCTAATTAGTGGCGACGCACGCATTTTACTCTGGTAATCCAAGTGAGTACTTGGAACAGACAAACACTATTGTCTCACCCATGGGCGTTCCTACAATGTGTTTGCAATCACTGATGCATGCAGCGTGCAGCATGACTAATCACGTATTATATCTCCTATTGGCTGATCACCCTCGACACCATAGAAGTGTGCTGGTACACCGATTGCGATCAACAGATAGGCGACCGACAAACGGAGCCAATTGTACAGCGAACCCGCAAGCCTACTACCAGCCTGCAGGTAGTTTTAAACAAGACAATCGTTCCAAAATATGCTCTTGTTTGAAACTACCAACACATTCTGTGCCTCACCAATGCGCGCCTGAATGAAAGCCGAGGCGTTCTCTCTGAAGTCAGATCGTCCAGCCGACATGACCAAAAGCGTCCATACGACTGTACGCGCGCACAGCGTAACACTTGTTAATCTTCCCATTGGTGTGGCCGCAGACTCAACCCCGAAGTGCATCGCGTGATACGCAGCGGACCAATGTGGTCCAGTGGACACGAGAAGTTTACTCGGCAACGAGGACGAACGAACGGGTAAACTACCAACTGAAGCTATCGATAGTACTGATTCAGCAGCGGTTTCGTTGTCGTGTCGAGTGTGATCAGCCAATGGGAGATATAATACGTGAGTAGTCATGCTGCCAATCTGGCGTAAGGTTTCACTACTACGCGAGCGAGATAACATCTAAGTGAGTGGTGATAAGAAGCGGATTGGTTGTTTTTGTTGAGGCTGCAACCCTTGCTGGCTGTTGGAAGGGAACCGTTGTATGCTTACGGGTGGATTGCACGGTTGCCTTCCTTGCTCGCTTGCGTATCTGGCCACAGGTGATAGAGTATGCATAGTATAATCGTGCCACTGCGAGCAACCTGGGAAATCGATCCGTATGCCCTTTAGTTTAGGAACTGCATGTGATTGTTAAGGCAGTGTGAGGTAAGCAGAAACAATACAGTACTTCGTGCGAAGGAGGTAAGACTAGGACTTGTTCGTAAATAGAAATTTTAAAGCCCTTACAGCTACAAAGTTCCTGTACTGCGTTGTTTCAGTTGGCCTTACACTCGTGTGAATAGTGTAGATACGTATGCTGATGTAGTCGGTGAATTGTATACTAAGGCCAAGTTGGCTGGGTAGGTAAAAGCATCAGTGGATCTGTAGCCATTGTTTCAAAGAGGAGGGTTCCTAGTGTGGCGGTGACGCGACATCAGTGAGAGTTCGTTCGTTACCACACCTGTGGACCACTTCGGTAATCAGTTACCGCTTCAGGACCCATGAACCTGCCGTTATGTTAAGGTCGCAAGATGCATGTCAATTCTGCGTTTCAACATGATATTTACACTTCACTTCCAAGTGATTGATAAGATTGAAATACCAGGTGACCCCACGGCCCTGGTATGATCTGCCAACGGGCATTGCATACGCATTGGAAGCATAGGGTTTAGAGCAATTTTCCTCCTTCAACAATGCCTCCGGAATTACCTACATTCCAAAGACAAAATGTTTCCGAGTAGTTGCCAAGTCGATAACAACGTGTGTCACGGCGTGCACACATGAGTGTTTCTAAGACTAGCTGAAACAGTGGTCCATAGCAGGCTTAATGGACGCGGTTGCCTTTGTAAATGATTGCAAACACATTGTAGGAACGCCCATGGGTGAGACAATAGTGTTTGTCTGTTCCAAGTACTCACTTGGATTACCAGAGTAAAATGCGTGCGTCGCCACTAATTATCAGCCTTGCGTTTTTTTCCAGAAAAATGATATGGCATGTATAAATACGGTAGTCATTATAGCCCCTTTAGGCGGTTCTTTGTTGAGTAATGCCGATTTCATGAGGATAGCATTCCAGTCCATGGACGTTATAGGGAGGTTCCATCTGCATGGACTGTGCTACTAATGGTGCCATTCGGAGAGCCACTTGTCAAAGCATCTCAACACATATGGGCGACCATATGGAAGTAAAGCCTAATTATCCTACGAATACATAGGTTCCTATGACCTTTAAATAACGCCATACATGGAGACGCTGAAGCGATAACAGATTAACAAAGTCGCCTATGGGTGTGGAGACAAACGAACACTCACTAACGTCGTGTCAACGCCACACTTGGAATCCTCTTAGTTTGTGTTTAATCACCAACTGTGATAGAAGTAAGCAAACATAGGACTTTCATTGTCCAGCTTCAGGTTGGTCTACCAACTTCAATGGGAACAATGTCCCCCATGATCGTCGCAATAACAGTCGCACAACATTGTCTAACCGCCTAGCAGCCATTGCTGATTCAGGTTTGGGTGTGCAGTGTCCATGCCACGGCGCATGCCTGACCAACCGCAAATGTAGGCCTGCCTCACTCCCTCAGACCTCAGGGACTGCGGAATACCAGTTAGAATAGTGCCTGTCTACGTCACCATGGTTAGACCGCTGAATAAGCCATCATCTGGTAGTCGTTAGCGATCACTAAGTATAGACCGCTTCATGTGCTGGTTAGTATGTCTGTCCGCACTGGTTACAGCGTATGCCTCGGATCACGTGGTAGCTAGGCTTTCCTCCCTAGACAGGCATCACAAGTTGCCCATTGGACGATTTCGGTTTGGAGACCAATCATCGAGGTTTACTTCAGATGTGCATCAAGACAGAACAGGATGTGGTACTTGACCACTTTCATTGGATTGTCTGTCGCTTTTGCTCGGGACTTCCAACCGGTGTCCCATTGGCTAACGTCCTATGACCAGTGAGTGTCAACGACTTCTCGCTGACTTGAAAGCGCTGCACGGTATTTCGAAAATGTGTCATGCTAAAAGCTTGGTACAATGCGCTAGCATGGCTGTCAAATGACATAGCTTCAGATACGGCCCCTTTGCTGGATGCATGCTAGGCCCACCACGCGTCAGCACCGCACACGAACAACTCATACATTGATGGAACGATTATTTAGTTTACCATCATTGGCTGCTTTCGGCTAGCTCAATGCCAAGGTCACTGCGCGCGCTTGGTGCGTAGTGGTGATATCGGATGCAATTCCGTTGCACTAGTGAGGATGTTTTATCTGCTTAAAGTGTAAATCAATACGTTAGGGAGCAGTTTAATTGCATTATGGATGCATTCATTCTGGAAAGGTTGTATGGTACTTAGGACTGAAAGTGTCCGGATTCATATGACATATTCATTCGTAAGTCAGCTTAAAATTACCTGTTTCGTTTCTCTTTTGAGGGATCGCCGCGAGACAGCTCCCAGCTGGCGGAGCTGTTACCGCGGACGGATGAAGAATGTTTTCGCTGGGCGTTTCGCCAAAACAAACACGACCTGTCATCGAAGGTACCGAGGGCGACCGAGTGGCGTAATACGTTGAAGTTTGGCGTCGAAGTAGTTGGAGTGAATGCATTGGTGTGAGAGCGGGGTGTATCTTGACAGATTGTGATGGGAATGGGAGTGGATGATAAGGACTGTGAGGAAGTGACACATTTTTCTGATCTACGACGGCCGGTTAAACATGTCGTCTGTGCACTTGGGATGGGAACAGGGTGAGGGCTTCCAGGACAGATGCCAGTTGAGCTCCGATCGGGTTTCATTTCGACACGTCCCTCTTCTAGTGGGATGGATTTAATAACACAATGGCGATTCGGTCTTCGATCACCAATTGAGGAATCGCTGAGTTTAATAGCAAAAAATGTGAGAGAAGGTGTGGGGCAGGAAATGTACCAGCCATTTAAGAGATTGAAACAACTATCATTTCAACCGGAACGTGTGAGAAACACAACTTTAACTCAATCTACGGCGTAAAATAAATGGCGCAGCTAAGAACCACTACATAGCTAAAAAGTGACAAATTCCCAGAACGCTCTCGGAGAAAGTCGGATTTTGTAACGAGGCGCAGAGTCTAAAAAAAGAAACACACTGAGGTAGGAGCAGTGAAGTAACCCTGCTATGAGATTCCTCAACGTAATCGAGTATGTGAGAGACTAAACGGAGTGCCTGGTAAAGTGAAAGTACCGTTATTGGTCCAGGATGCCCACGGTATCCTGTGGGGCAAAAAAATTTGCCTCGAATATTCTAGAAGGAAAACAAACTAGAACAGATAAAGCGTAAACAAAGCAAATGAATAACAAAGGAAGTTATCAATTAACAAATGGGGGAAATTCATTGGAACTGGCAAACTACTGATGCGAACGGAAGTGACCCGCAAGCAGTACAAAAACTACCCTAGTATAAAGGCGTGAAGAGCACCATCAGGTGATCGAAAGAACCCTGCTGTTTTTAGGATCAGTGACATCACGAATAGTGAGGCACTACTAAATCACGCGGGATCACATGATGAAGCATAAACGGGTCCACAAAGTACAGTTCTTCCAACGAGTTGAATAGGCGTAGGTCAAGGCTTGTTGAATAGAGAAGTTATATTGGTAAAAAGTTACGGTAATTGGAGAAAGAAGGCAAAACGAAAGAGAGAGAAATGGAAAGGAAACCAGTGCTGATCAAGTGGAAGGGCCAAAAGGAGACGAAGAAGTGCTGTCCAACAATTGGCCAGAAAGAGACGACGGTTACTTCACACCATAAGTGCTCACCGATGGGTCACATCTGCCCTCTTCTGAGAGTCTCGCATTGGTAGTGTTTTGGATTTTGTCGACCCAGGAAGAGAACGATGGACAGATCGAGCGGGTTTGCCGACAGTGAGCAGATGGACGCGAGGCGGCTGCGACAAACGCAAAAACGCATTCGATTCATTGGACAAGGTACGCCACGACACCGGCATACGCGAGCTACCCAGTTCGGAAACATCGGAAGAAGTGCGGTTGTCGTGTACCATAGTTTTGAGTGGAAAACGCTCGTTCTCTACATCCGACCCGGACAGTTGTGTGTGACGGCGGAGTCCTTTGAGTCTGTTTAAAAGATCTCCTTGAGTGACTTCTGCCTTCGCCACGGGCCTGGCATTTTGCGCTAAAACAGGCGAATTCCAGTAAGAAAGAAAGCGGAGACAAAGAGTGAAAAAAAGAACTAGACATTCCACTTCAAAAAGGGTTACTGAATATTTGTAAGTAGGAGGGGATTTATTAGGTTTTTGTGTAGATTGGTCGCAGTTAGACACAGGCAAACAGCCACCACACATCCAGGAAAGCGCTAGGCGGGTTGCTGATGTTTTGGTAGGTGAAGGAAGTATCTGTATTAGTTACCACGATTGTTTGGAAAGACCGAAGAGTCAACGAAGCCACCGAGTTCCAAAATCGGGGGCAGTGCGAACATGTCGGTAAATGTCCGAATTTATTTATTTAATATAGCCAAACTAACAATACAAAAGCAACGGAAAGAAGGGATACAAAGAAGCCTCCTTCTGAAAAGTAGTTTACGTCAGAAACTACTAAAACTTCGTTAAAAAGACCGTGGAAAAATAGATAGTCGGATGCAATGAGAAACTTGATTTTTCAAGGACCCAAAATCTAAGTCAAGCTTGGGTACTACTGTAAGCGCAAACACCCGAACATGAGAGTGGGTGCATACGAGCGATTGTATTAGACGAAATACGGAGTGTCTAGTGTTCCGACGATGCTGACAAAGGAAAAGGCGTTGTCGTATCCGTGTTCACACATAAGTAATCAGTGATAAATGAAGCAGACGGCATAACATGATGCACGTAACGCGCACGAAAAGTAATAGGATTTACTGAAAGAAGTATATAGACCCACATAGAAATTAACGAAAACTTCGATGTAATAGACACTGCCCATACAGACCATTTGCGACTACGATATGCGGAACCTGATGGTCTAATGAAAGTTCATTTCAGGCAGACTGAGCTAAGGTTGGCGGCATCCGGTTTCGGATTTGCCTGTCACTGGGGTCAGCCAGAGGACGCCTGTGCCTACAGAGGGACCATGGATGGCTTGCGCTGCACCACCCACAGCTCCATCCACACACCCCCATATCCAGTGTAAACCCGAAGGAATAAGACCAGGAGACATGTGGATGTGAGCCACGTTTCATCAACGGAGCCGGCCCACACTCCTTCACAGGCAAACACAAGCACGCCGTATTTAGGAATCAAGCACACACAAGGAGGTGGCTGGACCTTAGTCCGCTCCACACTGAGTGCATGGAACCACTCTTTGATCCTAACACGGCCACAAGGACTGTGTACGCCGTCCCCTCCAGCAATGACCAAATGTCTCCGGCAGCCAGTATGGACGAGGAAGTGGGTAATAGACAGGAAGGCACCTTGTCAACATGCACATCAAGTGCAGTCACACCAAGGATCTCAAACCACAGCCAATCAATTGAGAGAAAGATAACAAAGAAAATAAATCGAGTAATGCATAAGGAAACGGCGATACAAATCTTAAATTAATAAGCATATGAAATAAGTTGTTTACAGAAGAATCCGAGATAACTTCATGAAGTCAGAAAGTATATTTTACGGAAATGACACTAACACGAAAATGTTATCGAAATTAACTACAATTGGCTTAAGCGACGTGTGCAAATTTATGGAAGAGAGTACAGGTAGACATTTATGTGAGAAAGAAAAGCATGAGGACAAAATTGAAAACCAACCACCTAAAATAAATAGACTTAGCATGCAAGCACGCGGTTAGTAAATCGAAATCAGCGTACCTTCAAACGCTGCGCCGGTTCTGCCTACGTTCTCTGCAGGACCCGTCGTCGCTTCGGCAGTGGTCCCGAGTGGCGTCGCTTATGGCTTTCTAGGCCTGCCTGACTCAGGCACTGGCGACCGCATGTCCTACAGCACCATGCGCTCGATGTCGATGGGGTACAACCCATCGGTGCTAGCCGCTTCCACACTTGCCGCTTCCACACTTGCCGCTTCTTCTCTGCATGTATGTCTTTCTCCCGCACGTCGGCAACCCTTCGTCATTAGATCGCGTCATGCACGCCGATCAACCGCCTTCGATTCCCATGATCTGCAATCAAGATTAGAACGTGAGAGACTAACTTTGATCATGTCCTGGTAACGTAACTTTGGTTTCCCCACATACCGCTTCCCAATACTCAGCTGACCATATAATAACTGCTTCGGTATCCGCGTTGAATCCATACGCCCCACATGACCGAGCCACCTCAGGTGTCTCAGTAAAAGTATGCAGTCCACTGCATACATCCCACTTTGTCGCAACACTTCCTTGTCCGGAACTCTGTCGCCAAAACTGATGCGCAAAATTCGTCGCAAACACTGCTGATGGAACTGCTCGAGATATCGCACATCCCGCCGGTACATCGTCCACGTTTCACTGCCGTGTAGAAAAACGGACAGCACCATGGATTTGTACACCATCAGCATCGTACCAACGGAAAGCTGATGGTTGTTCCACACTCGGTACTTAATCTTCCCGAATGCCGCCTCTGCCTTCGACACGCGGATACGCAGCTAACTATGTAGCTACTGATCAGTCGACATCACACTCCCAAGGTAGCAGAAGAGGGAGATGGTTTCAAATACTTCAGCACCAATGCTGATTCGCGGCAATATTGAAGATTGCACCTCCGGTGAAGGCTGAAAGAGACAGACAGTTTTGCTTGTGTTGATGGTGAGCCCAAATTTTGCCGCTGTCGAAGCTAGAGCACTAGTCATGTGCTGCAACTCTTCCGCGCTGTGTGCAAACAACGCACAGTCGTCAGCAAACAGCAACATACGGATAGTTGTCTCACAGACTAGAGTTCTCGCACCGAAAAGACGGATGTTCAGCAACCCACCATCAATACGGTGCTCCACACGAACACCGTAAGCACAAGCGGCATCAAAAACACGAGACATAATGGGGTGAAGATGTATATTAAACAGGGCAGGAGCTAAGACACAGCCTTGCTTCATACCAGTGACAACTGCAAAGTCATCCGAGGTCTCTCCACTCAGTTGCACGCTCGCTCGCATACCGCTGTGCAGACATTCAATTAAACTTACGAATTTACGCGGGCAATCAAACTTAACCAACGTTCCAGCACCCGATGCTGAGTGCTTTGCGCGCAGGCATACGATTGCATTGGTGGGCAATCGCACGCGAGGTGGTCGTTGTGCTTCGGAAGTTTGCTTGAGGGACTCCACTCGGAGCATTTGGCTCAATAGCTTTACCCACAAGGCAGTGGGGAGCAGATCCAGCTCGGAAATGTGATTGGAGAGACAGATTGGGATCTGCTTGACGGCCGTCACACGCAGCCTGGGAGGTACTGGAAGTACTTATATATATATATATATATATATATATATATATATATATATATATATATATATATATATATATATATATATATATATATATATATATATATATATATATATATATATATATATATATATATATATATATATATATAGCGCGGCCGTAGTAGGATACACCTGCGACCACGGCCAGACGCAGGTGGGTTTTGACGGGTTTGCACCAATTTGACCAGGGGCTGCATGGCTTGAGGCGGGCAGTAGCAAACCATTGAACACCCGGAGGTGCCCTCCCATCGTCAGAGACAATGCGTGGCGCTCGTGCTCTACGCCAATCGAGCAGTGAGCTTATAACCCGTAGACCTGCTGTCTCCCATGACTAGGTTTTACGGGAAGAGGGCCATCAACCACTTCCTAACCTCCGAAGAGGATGGACTAGGATACTGGCAGGGCGCCCACACCTGACAGGAGAACGACTCGGGTCCTCAGCCAAAGCCTTCTATTAAATGAACACCCGAAAGGCAGCGGGTCTAACACATGGTCAGTTCACTGACTTATGCGGATTGGTGTCCTGGATCTTAACAGGCAGAAGGGCGAAACCTAACTCCCACCCAGCGGTCGCCACGAGGAAGCGTTCAGGACATGAGCCAATGACCAACAGCAGCAGCAGCATCTGTCAGCATCTAGCCACAACCAGCCTCAGCGCACCATAGGCTCTTCTGAGATAAGGTACATTGGCTATAACAATGCGATGTGAAAGGCGAAACTCCTGCCCTACTAGCACCAAACAGAAGACATTTACTCAAATAAGTATGGGGAAGTCCGTTGGTGTATAAAGAACACCGCTGAGACGGCCGAAGAGCGAATGACTGTCAAAGACCTACACGGTCCCCTACTTAGTGGAACATTTCTGCGTAGAAATATAAGCGGTCATATAAATAATGAATGCCCCAGTGCAAGGGAAACAGGAGCAAGCAATCTATCGAGAGTTGCTGGAAAAATGGAACAATGGTGCACGATGGGTAAGAAAGCAATGTTTAACAAGTCCCGTGGGATGGAATATATTACGAAAATCAAATGCATGATAAAGTGAAAAGCGTTTCGGTGGACTCACCAGAGGCTTATGTAGAATGGCGGATATGTTTGCGTATTAATAGTATAAATCCATAAAATCATTAGTTGGGAGTTTGGTAAGACACCATTTGATTGCGTTTTGTAGCCCCTGGCTAACAAGTCATAAAATGAAATGCAAATGAGACCACGCATCGTCAACTGCTTTTTAATATCGCCAGAGTGGGCGCAGAAACGAGATAATTAGGGAAGGCGTTCCAAGAATGGCATACGGGGAGGGAAAAGAAATTTCTACATCATCAACGCCGGCTATATAGTATTTTCAGTTTCAGAAATTGACGTCTTAGGCTAGTGCTCTGGTTCAATTCCAGCAGCGGACGGCAAATGTGGTTTGGGTTCTTCAGAATCTGGTAAACCATTATGAGACCACCTGCAAACGCCACTATCGACTGCTGTACATTCTTAGAAATTTCAGTCTAAGCTGCTAAGGCATATGAAAGAGTCCACTGACGTTCTTAGTTGCCTATCGTTGAAGAGTCTGGGGAGCAACGAGATCCTGTTTCTGCCACGACTGCTACGCCTGAATAGCATACTCCATGTGCGGTCGTACGTAGGCGTTAAACATTTAGGGATAGACTGAGGGTTCAAACCGACCGAAGGCTCTGCGAAGCAGGCCGAAGTGTTGATCGTCGGTTCTCGTCGCTTTCTCTGCTTGTTTTAAACACCCGAGATTTTCCTAGACCAGTACACCCAGTGACGCTCCTGAGAGGACTTCTGCAAACTATGGTCTCCAAACTTGTAAGCGCTCACCGGCTGGTGACGCAGATAGACCACGTTGCACTTAGCTATGTTCAAATGACGCGGGTTCCTCTGTGACCATTCATAAATGCAATCTAGGTCATGTTGGAGTATATCATGATCTTCATTGTTACTAATCGCCCGCCATATCTTGAGGTTATCAGCGAAAAGCAGAAAATCTGAGATAACTCTTGCCAGGTCGTTGATGAACACCAGAAATAAGCGCGGTCCCAGCACTGAACCTTTGTGGAACACCACATTCTACCTCAATCGGGTGAGTGAGTGATCCCGTAACGCGTACTTGATGCTTCCGTTTGTGAAAAGTGTTGCCAATCCAAAAAAGCACAGGATCTCCGGTTTCGTATCTCTGTAGCCGGTAAAGTAGGATGGGTTGATCCAGGCGGTCGAAAGCTTTGAAGAAGTCCAGATAGATGACGTCAACTCCGACCCCATCATCAGCCACTTCCGTCCAACTAACTTGTGCAATCAGTAGGTTGGTGGTGCATGGCCGGTGTTGACGGAAGCCACGCTGCTTAGGTACCAATAGGTTGTATTTTTCCAGGTAGTCCATTAAAGCCTCAGCGACGACTGCCTCCATCACTTTCGCGAACACAGGGAGGAGAGTCACTGGGCGATAGTTTGCAGGATCTGAACGGCTACCGCCTTTAAAAATAGGGGTTATAATGCCACACTTCCACATAGTGGGGACTTGTTGTTCATCAAAGCACCTTTGGAAGAACTGTGACAGTGGTTCAGCTAGCTTGGTGGCCGTAGCCTTCAGTGCCTTCGGGCGGATGTTGTCTGCTCCTGGAGAACTATGTTCGCGCAGTGAGAGTAACTTCCTTAGCACAATTAATGAGTTGAAAATAACATTTGTAAACAAAGGTGTCGGTAATGTGCTTGATATTATGGGACAGGTAGAGGTTGCGAGTTCGAAGATTGGGGCGTATTGAAGCCGCAGGGCATTAGCTGCTTCTTCGGCGCTTTGTACTCTACCGCCTGTCGTGAAAAGTGGGGAGATTCCATGCTTCACTTTACGAAGCTTATTGACATGCCTATATAGCAGTTTGTTGTTTGCCATGAATTTTGTGGCTAGGCACCGTGGATAAGTTACTTTTTTCTCACGGACAAGCTAGTGCAATGGTTGCGATGGGCCAGGAAATTGCCCCAAGTTTCTGAGGCGGGGTTAATCTTGTACGCACGCCAGGCTGCATCCCTTATCGCCAGGCATTTGCGAATCCTACTTCTTATAATTGAAGGCATTTTCGCGGGATGACGGGGTTTGGTCTCTGATGCTTTGTTGACGATGTCGGTGAGCTGATTAACGAACTCTACCCAAACGTTGTCAAGTGGACTGTTGTTCGAGAATTCCCAAGCAGCTGCGTCGGCGAGTTCTTTCAATACGTGGCAGTGTGCGATTGTATGAGTAAGTTGCGAGGGTTCAGATGGGTACGCTGCATAACACACATAGTTGAACGTTATTACTACATGGTCACTGAGACCTAATGGACTATGTATCAATAAGTTGTCAACCATGAGCTCTTCATTCGTGAGCATAAGGTCTAATATGGAGGGTTTGTTTGCTGTCCTGAATCTAGTGAGCGTGGTGACATGATTGTACAAGGGAATATTAGCGATCAGTTTATGCAAGTCTGCTTTGAACTGCTCACTGGGTGATACCGATACCTCCAGATCGCGTAAATTGAAGTCCCCGGAGATGAGAATGTGGCTGTACCTAGTGCATGTTACTCTGTTCAGGCCACGTATCAAGCGAGAGTCCATTTCCGGAGTGGAAGTTGGGGGGCGGTAAACGACAGCTACGAGACATGCGTCCTTGTGTCTTAGTCGAAGACGGTAACACCGTGAGTCGGTAAGGTGAGTTTCCAGATCATCAACTATTGCACATTGCAGGCCGCTGCGGTAGTAGAGTAGGACTCCACCTCCTCTGCTGAGGTGGTCGTTCCGGATGACTGACATTCCGGCTATCTCAACCTCAGAGTCAGCCAGGTCTTGGTGTAACCGAGTTACGGCATTTCAGATGAAAAACAACCAGAAGCAGATATCAGAAACAAAAGCTAGCGAACAAGCTTGTTTTCGGTAGATCCCATCAGGCCTATACAGCATAACTGATGAGAGTAAAGTGAGCATCATTACTTTGACAAACAGAATCGGAAAAACAACTGCACGGACTTTGTATAACCATCACTTGGGACATGAAACCCAAAGTAGCTAAAGTACAAGGTGGAATTCGAGCAAGCCTCAAGAAAATCGGTACGGTGTTCGCAACGTGACAAGCGCGACAGAACGTGCAGAGACAGGGACTTGTCTTCGCGCCCACCCCCTGTTAATTGCACCACGGCTAACGATACGATGAGCCGTAAGGCGGTGTACTTGGGTTTGGGTGACCTCGGATCAGCCTGTTCGTTCAACTGACTGGCGTATGCAAGGTAACGTGTAAACTTGTGGGCAAATCCAAGGTAAGTTCTTGACAATCTGGTGTGAAACGAAGCTGATGTCCGCCAGCATCCGCCTCCGAAATCGCACGGTTGGTGAGACGCTTGGAACTAGTAACTTAGCGTGGAAGGGGTCTAATGCCTGATACGGACATCCGGATGTAACTGTCAATAGATGATGGTGCGTTATTCGCGCCCCAGAATGTTGTAATAAATGAGGGCGGCTTGGACAGCAACACAAATGTGATTGTATATGTTTTTCACCCAACACCAAGAACGTCAACATCAATGAGGAAGTGCGGCGGAACGCGTCCGTAATCTTCCATCTCGGTGGCTCGCTGCAGACAGAGCTAGTAAAGACCTGAGTGTTCTGCAGTCGTAGACCAAATGTGGATGCAGATACCGGCAAAATGGAGTACTAGCTTCCTAAGGGTCAAACTCTCTTTGATCATCGTGATGAAGCCGATGGCCGACACGTCTGTGGTGTTGACAATTTTCCTCCACCGGTGCTTGAACGACTTTATCGAAAACGCCTGAGGGAGATTCCGTGTATAGACTGTTGGGACACAAGCCTGGGTAGTGACCAGTTACCAATGAACAACTGTTAGACAGGCAGGTGTTCGGGTTTTCGTATTCGTGGTATGCGTGCTGAAGGGGTGCAGGTTACTTTGGGATGCAGCAATAGTTGAAAACGAATCTCGGTTCGAGAGGTGAGAGGACATGGCTTGTAGTCGGCATCAGTGGGATGTGCACTGTCGTCATCTAGTCGAATTGCATATTTGAATTGTGTCGGGCGCTGAGTTGACTGCGGGGTAATGGCTGATGTGACCCGGAGCAGTCAAAGCCGGAAGGAAGCTGTCTCACTAATGCCGTTTTATCTTTGCATGATAGTCAGTTGTTGGTGTGGCTGTGTTGGAAAGGAATATTTGTATGGAGCACTTAGGTTGTATACACTAGGTACCCTTTCTATCCCTCTTACGTTGGTTCACTCCTTAGATTATTGCGGTTGCATTGCAGCAAAGCACCAGGTCAAACAGCTGATGTACTGATGCTGATAATGATGAACATGATGGCATCTGTCTCACAAGACAACATTGAGGACGAAACCAATTCTCGCTTAACCTCTCCCATGTCAACACTAACTTTCGTTTGGTTGGTTACCAAAAAAGGAGTCTAATCCTCACTCAAATTTCAGCAGTAGGTCTCTGGAATACAATGCTTTGCCAGAGTGAAGCAAAGGACAGTGGCCTTATTTAGTGGCGAGGCACATCCGCAACAGGGAGAACGTTTGTTAGGAGAAAAAAAACCCACCACGTACTGGAACACTGAGAAAGTAACCATAACTAAAGCGATGGTTTTTAGTAAGCGCACCATCAGCTCAGAAAACCATGCAAAGAAAAGTGCTCCATGTAAAATGATGGAAACTAGTGAATACTAAGGTATTCTAAATACTCAAATACAAGGACCAGAAAAATGCACTTTTCCACTAAACAATAGCCAAGTGCACACAAGGAAAACATGATCGAGCAATTTGGGGTCTGGAGCCAAAATGTTGGAGGCGGCTTTTCAATCTTAAAGGAAATATCTACAGCATAAAACATGTTAAGCGGAGATAGGCTACTGGTTTCGAATAAACAACTAGTAGAGAAGACAGTAGGCACGAGCGAATGGAGCCGGAAGGAACAGGACAATGATAAAAGTGGAGAACGGTGAACACCGGGTGCGTCGAGAAATGAACGTTCGGTCGGATAACATAAGTGAAGGAGAAGATGAACGCTCACTTGCCCAGCCGGCTTGAAGTGAAACAGGATCGTCTGTCACACTTTCCCTTTCCAACGACGTAGAACTTAAGTTATGTGGGACGGAAAAACTCGGTCCCCTGGAAACACTCGGTGTATCTTTTGATCTTTTCAAATCTGTAAGTGAATCCGGAGTAATTGGGGAAGTTGATTCCACCGAGTTGATATCGCTACTCGGAATGATGGATGCCGTGGCATCGCGCGTGTTGAACGAAGTAAGAGGACTGCTTTGCGAATGATCCCCTTCCCGAGAGTCCGAATCCCCAGACGCAGCAGCGGTACGTTGAAGGTTCCTTGATCTAGAAAAAGAAGATTCAGTAAGTCAGGATTGCCGAAATAACCTGATTAAAATGATTTTTATGATGATGATGATGATGATGATGATGATGAAGAGGAGAAACAGAAAAACGTCCAACCGTGGAGAGAAGAGGACTCTGCGGTTGTGTAGAATGGGATTTCCTCAATACATCGGTAGATACCGAAACTGACGTAACGTTCGAATGATAGCGGGCGACAATTTGTCCATGAACGTCCAGTAAGATGTGCACTACCGAAAACCAACAAAGCAGAGCTAGGATTCGTCTACGTTGCGGTTTGACGAAATATGAAATAACGAAGTTAAACGAACGTCAACGTGCTCCCAAAAGTACGGAATCAAAACGGAGCCGCGCAGGAAAAGCGCATCAAAAGCTCTTAAACTTTGGTGACGATTCGTCGCTACCAGACTCAATATAAAGCCAACACATCTTCAGTAAAGTGCAAGACTGTCCTTTCGTCCTAATGGGACTCATCAGTATCGCGCACCTACCGAATCCTGCCGGGTTCGAACCTACGACCATACTCTTACGGGCCAGCGACTTGTGCCACTGAGCCATGAGTGATGGCGGCAGACTGTTATGACCGATATTTAACTGAGATATAGCGCGGCTCATCCTCCACTGTCATGCATGTTATGAACGTGTAGAGCACAGGGTTGGCCCCCAGAGCAACGACTTCCTCTACAGGCCGCCACCAATGGAGGTGACATGTAAAATGCTAAGGCAACTGCTGATTATTTGCTAGTAGTAGGCGGATTTAATGGGTTTTTGGTGAACTTTCGCTACCGCCGTGTACGATCATGTGGAAGGTGCCACCAAGCGCTAATATGGAATACTAGAGTTGGTGCCGCGCAAATCGAAAGCGAACGGGACCTACAGTTATCGAGAAGTCGAACAGGCAGGTTAGAATACCACATGAGATGGTTGGAACTCTGGGATGGGGGATACAACTGTAACTCGGAACAGGGCTCGTGCCGAAACAAAGGGAGGAAGAGAGGCAGCGCGAACACATCAGTTCAAGATGGTGTATAGCGGAGCCTGAGGCGAGAGGCCCTTAAGGCAGGGCATGACTAAAACGAGCACAGGTAACGAATTATCAGTTACAATAGGTTCGTGCAAATACCGAGTCAGCCTGCGCCTTCGAAGCATATTCAGAATGCGCAAATGGGCTCAAACCCTAGTGGAAATATGAAGAGGACATAATGGCATTTCACGAGCAGTGTGAGGGGTATCAATGTGGTGCGTTGTCTTTAGAGTGGATCCGAGGTTGTACCAGCTGTTCAGAAAATGTATTCCAGCCAAACTCAGCATGATTGGTACATAGCTAAAGTGTATGCACCAACTCAAGGGGTGCAACTCCTCATGATTTCCCCAACGACAAAGGTACACCAGGAAGCCAATTGTCAAGTTAACGTAATCTAAACGTTAGGCACACTGATAGGACGAACATGAGCTCGTTAGCAGTGGAGAACAGATAGCATAAAAAGGCAAAACCATGACAAGTAGTGACCAGAAGCGGGAAAGCGGCAACATTAGAATAAGGTTATATAATTTCGTGTGTGAATATGCATTGGTACTAACAATGACGAAGGTGTGGAGGAAATAGAACAAAACCGCATATCCAACACAATAACCAAACAACCGGTTGTGAAATTCAAAGTTAATACGGATTTTAGCTTACCCACTTGCACGGAGCCTGGAAAACTTTGACACCAATGAAGAATCCTCGACGTTCGCATTAGCACATTCGTCCCGCTTATCGACTGCGCCATCACTTATGGACAGGTTGTTCCCATCACCAGCTACAGAGGACCGGCTGACCGCACATATAGTCGACCGCTCTGCTCTGCGGGACAGAGCAGCGGGAGCACTGCAGAGAGAGAAATCCAGATGTCGTACCATCTTTACAGGTAGCTGACTCTCTAATTTCTGCCGTTGCGCAACTCGATAGAGCTCACCACTAGACCAACATGCAGACTGTTTCAAATCCAACCAGTGTTGCTGAGGTCCGATAACAGAACCGGGACGACAAACGCGACACCAAGCAATTGCCTCGCGAGAAGTAAAGTGATAATGCTTCATCAGATAGCAGCTTATCAGCGTGCCCGTTCGACCCAGTCCAGCTTGGCAAAACGAGGGAGGTAAAGAATTATTACGAGCACTAATAAAAGAGGTCGGGGATTGCACACGGATGGCCAGCATGTAAAACACCAGTAATAGAAGGATCTTCGCTGGTTTATTTACCCAGGAGTGGAAAGATCGAAAACCGAAAGGACAAGCAAGATTTGTGTGGGAACAAAGTCTGCATATATGCCTTGGTGCGACAGGCACGCTGATTCGAGGTATTCATACCAATGCATCTAATGAAGAATAATCAAGGGAATAGTGAGGAGAACATGTTAAATATCAGTTTTCGGTGGAACCTAAATCAATTTAAAGCAATGAACTGGACCGCGTGTCTGAAAGGTTGCGACCTGAATCCGACCTTCACTATTCCGCAACTTCGCCCATAATGAATTAAGAGACATACGTTTGATAATTCTAAAAGGATGGGTTGTAGGCCAACTCATCGGACAACTAAAAACAATAAACGGACATTTTGATGAGACCAGTCTTGATAGAACTATACCATGTGCGCTACAGCTGTGCAATGGCCGACTCGGCAGGATGTGGTCAACTACATCGCATGTTATGCGTGGTGCGTAACAGTCTGATGACGGGAGCATGCTTTGAAAAAACAAAGATGTTTGGAAGGAGACCCTACTTGCTGATGAGCAAAAATCAAAGCCCACAAGATGATCAAACTGAAAAACTGGGCGAGCGTTAAGGGAGTGAATACTTTGGGGTTAAAATCCATTGGTAGTTATTCCAAGAAGAGCCGCTGAAGACAGTCAGATAAGGTAGCGCGAGAGAGAGAGAAACTAAGGACGAGGCGCCTGAAACGCATTTGCTCCCAACTTAGTGATCACGAACTTGTAGTGAATGAGCGAAGGCACATGGTAGGGGTAGGTATCTGAAATAACGATGAAGTGGAAAGCACTCACCTTTGCAATGGACCGCAATCACGCCTGGAGCTTCTTCGCATATATGCAGAAATCGATGCATAATCGAGTCGGATGGGTAGCATCCATCAGCGAATATGAGATCGAAGTGTGAGAAACCAGCATCCGTAAAGCGTTTTGCGTCGTATACTTTCTTGTTTAGCCGGATGACAGTAGACACACCGTGCGCACGAAAATACGAAAAGTACGCATCCGGACTGTGCACAGGCAAACCTGAGTTTTTGAGGGATAGAAAAATAATGTCAACTGGAACTAACGAGTTTCATCATGTACCTGAAATCGCAACAAAAAGGTTCGTGAGGCAAGCACAAAGTTCCATTATGTGCTGCGTTCATGAGTTTAACCGGGCTCGGTCTCACGTAAGGAAGGAAAAGAGAACGAGGGCACTGCAGATAGCGAGTGGTAGGAAGAACAGTATGATGGACAAAAAGCTCATTAACGCCGCCCAGGTGGGTCCGGCGGTGTGCGATTCGTGCTTGCAACACAGTGTTACACATATCGTAACTCTGTGAACTCGAGTACACTTCTACAGCAAGGCAGCTTGTGGTGAGCTCTGATGCAGAAATAAATATGTACGGTGTGGTGGAAGTGCTGACATTTCGGTTGGGCAAAAGGACCGATGAACTCCCTCAAACTGTTTGTTATTTAGAAATGTAACGAAAAGTAAAATTGACATTTAAAGGCACTTTCTGTAACAGTGAAGCGGCTAGGGAGAGTGACTGCGGACATTGGTGTGACGCAGAAGGAAAACACAGATACGTAAAGCAATACAGCCAGAATAGTGGCCTTATAGGTGCACGGTAGCCATGAGCCGGCGAGGATTGGATATTCAGTTGACAGCACGAATAGTGAATTGAATCGTTTGGTATGGGCCATGCAAAGACCTTGCGTTTTGGAAACCATTGATTATGGAACTTCGTTTCAATAAGAGTCAGTTTAAGGGGGCTGGAAATACGTGCCTGAACAATTCAATTCATGTGAGGTTTGCAGGTAATGAACAGTCAAAGAGATCACAAACAAACCCAGAAAGTACAACGGAAAGAAAACCACCACTTTTTTTAACTTTGTAAGAATTGCTCAGAGAGAAGTCGATGGCAGGTAATTAAAAGAATAAGTTTCTATTATTCACTTGACCGTTCAATCCGCATACAATCGGCACAGACAGAGTAGGAACCGGGAGACACTTACGGATGCTGACCAGTGACCGTTTGGAATCGTGAGATAATCTGAGACTCGCCACATGCAAATACGATACAGCCCAACAGAAGCGCGGCTGACTCCTTTTCAGCAGTAATACGTAACATATGGCTAAGCAGGTAAACATTAAAACCCTACACATATATATGGATGAGAATTCATGACAAAGCACTGCCTAAAGCTAAACGCCGCCAAAGTAGAGTCTTTGCTGCAACGGACAAGTTTGAATAAATGTAAGGATAATAAAAGGTGAATGGTTTCCTCGATCTTCACCACTTGTTCATGTTAAAGCACCAAACAGTGAGAGAAAAAGGAATTCCCCGTGAAAGGAGTTCACACACAAGTAGCGAAAGTGGAGAAGCGGACGGATATCCATAGTGACAAGAACAATGGCCTCCCTGTAAGCTCATGAACGGTGTTCAGGTTGGAGGATATCAGAATCAGAAGGCAATTAGGTGGTAAGACATTCAGTGGCGGGGACTACAAACCGGCCGTTGCTTTTTACATTATCCACTGTATGTACCTCAATTTTACAAGATTACGCAGACATATAGTTCATGCAATCAACTTCCAAGGCCAGTGAGACCTTGTACTCCATCCAAATTTGAATATAAACGCGAGATATCGCGCATGATCCTTGATCTATTGTCTTTGGACTCAAAATTTTACATCAATTAAAAAGAATTCTGAAGAAAAATTTTAATGCAAGCTATCCCGTTTTGTATGCATCCAAAGCCTGAAGATTTAGTTCAGCTTTTTGGGGTTGTTGCTCGATCGATCGATGACAGTAAATCTTTTCATTTTTCTACCCACTTGTAAATATATCATTTGGTAAATTTACAGTTGGTAATGTAAATTGCAGAAAATGCACCCATCTAGGTGCGCAAAGCTTATACTGACTTGACTTGATTAAAAGGAAATATAGGTATAAACGTCACTGTTGGCTAAATGAAGGCATGGAAACATAAGAAGATCCAGTTACGTAGAATAAACAGACGTGACGGTGAGGAATGAAAAGGAATAAGAAGACCATTTAAGTGGATGGCAATCACAGCTGGAGGCATGCACAAGGCATCGAACGCTCAATGAGGGTCAAGAGTGCTGCTTCTACCGGAAGTTTGTGTGAGAGGCAGATATTATTACTTGAGGCGTGGTAAAGACAGTCGAAAAAATCGCAAGCGAGGGGAACCAATTGCGCTGATACGGGCAGGATTCGAGAGGCTATACCTATGTGGTACGCCTCCAGTGGGATAAAAGATTCTCAGAATCCAATTGGGTTAGGCAGACTCGTCGTACCAGTGGATAGCACCCTTAGAAGTCATACCGTGTGTTAAAGTTTCATGTTCTTCCAATGTGGAGTGTTGTGAGACGTTATGGGCCCAGTTGTGTCTCATACATAAGCTCACTGCGGATGGTGTCCGAGGGGATGAGCGAAGTTTGTCTTCCCTCTACACTGTTGTACCGAACATTCTGAGAAGACGCTTATAAAAGAAAGTGGGCTAACGGACTACTAACATAAGAGACAGCCCATTTACTCGCAACCTGCTCAGGTGCAATCGCCCGTGCATAACTTGATAAACAGAGCTTTCATTTCGGAAATGAGAATGGTGCCTTCAAACCAAAGGTTAGTTATGACAAGTTTAACCGATCGAGGAATTAATCGAATCAGTCAAATGGCGCATGTGTGCTTCAGAAATAGTGTCGCTTCGGAAGGTCAGATAAAGTGTAGTTGAGCATCACGCATAACCGCACTTGATTAACATTACAACCGGAGGATCTGTAAGTCAAACGTATAAGATATGGAGGGTGAAGCTTACAGGATGACAACCGTCTCAGATAACTGATGGATATAGGGTAGTACTCAAAGCCAGTAAATCCACAGAGTAGGTAACTCAGAGGACCACCAGAAGGGGCAATGGCGCTGCGGAACCCGGTAAACCAATGAGGATTCCATCCAAAGAGAGGACACACAGAAACCAAACGCGGCACTCAAGTTAGGTTCATTGTGTTATTTTACCACGATGCTGAAAAGCCTAAAACTTCATTCAATAATCCACGGAAAAAATAGCAAGATGAAATGAAGGACAGACACACGTCACAAAGCATCCGGGCAGCAGGCATGCGACGTACGGTTCAGTGCAGCACTACAGCGATTGTAATCCAACACTTTGGTAAACCTCATACTATCTACCGGAAACTGCTATCTGATTCCACAGTGGTTCGAAGGAGAAGATTTTCCGTTCAGCACATACTGGCCACACCTGTGATACAAAGGGTGGCAATGGTTGAACCGCAACATTGTGCCCTGTGCGCCTGAACGGTAGGTAATCATCCTACCGACCTCATCAATGAATGAGGTTTTGATAAGCCACAACGTACAAGCAGAATAATCTCTTCGGTTACCCAGACACCAATTGGGGCAATATCATGTGGGTGGGTAAACCGACAGATCACTTAGAGAGCTGGCCCGTGATTCTGGGAAAAAGTGACATGCCATCTCATCCCTGCAGTAATATGTTTAACTTTGAAGGTACGGCAAAATACGCAATCACGTGCAGCATCCTAAGCAAAAGAGTTTGCACGGCAGTTGCACGCGACGCTGAGTGGCACACCATTCGGACTGTAAGTTAACTAATCGACCCTTGGGAGAATAATAGCATGCTGAAACAACCGGGACAGAGCCGTTCATGACCAGCTAAGTAGTATGATCGAAATACAAAGGAGAGATGCAGTAGTCATGACACACTAAGCTTGCTGTGCGTAAACTAAAGAAGGGGTTTCCAGTAGATCCGAGTGTTAATCACCAAGGATCGGCAGATTTGTCGACAAGCGTAACCAACCGAATCAACGGTAATCGTCAAGACGGGGTGTTGTGTCGGCACTACGCGAACCAGTAAATAACAAGCGGGAATATTGATGCACGAATGAGTAGGAACAACGGGTTCTTAACTCCAACGAACAAAAAACCGGAGCTGACTGTACAGATCATGTAGGTCGAGGTCACAGTATGAGTTTCGTTCACATGTTTACGGCTGATCAGAAGCAGCAGTTAAAATCACCGATGCCAGCCGTTCAGGTGGACTCTGAGCCTGGGAAAACCCAGTTTTCCAAACACGGGGGAAACGAACAGGGTAGTGTCTAAATGTGTATCACTGTCCAAGCAAAAGGTGAGATATAAATAATAAGTCAGTGCATCTAACATATTACTCGGAGGTATACTAGCCTCAAGGAATCCGATTTTATCGAGAGTATGTGAGCAGGCATCCATGCAGTAACGTGCAACCGCATAGCATTTACGCTCATCGTCACCATAGAGTTGCTGCTCATCATCATCCGATAGCACATTCAGATTTGAAAAGACAGTTTAGGCTTTAGCAATGCGTGAACTTACTTCAGCCTTAATGCGCCCATCGTGGCCGATACAGCTGTCCTGGTACATGAAATGTGCGACCATCTCGAGTTCCTCGTTATCAAGAGTCAGTGGGTCATCAAATGCCTGGTGATCCAGCAGCAACACTGCACTTTGAAGGTGAGAAGCGCATACCGTATAACGGGACCACTCCAGACAGGCTATGCAGGGTTCATTGGGCCACCCCAACATCGTAAAACAGCAAAACGATAGCGTCCGCATAATCAAGATCAACTAGGCTTACAGCAGGCAGCAACTCAACGCCTACATCGTGAGATTCTGAAAGGGAAGACTCCATGATGGAGTCAACGACGAAAGTGGACAAAAACGGGAAAATCGGACAACCCTGACGAACACCACTTGTTGTCGGAAAGCTATCCGACAGGTCACCGTAGACCCTGACGAGGCATGTAGTATTCGAGTATAGTAAGCAAAATGTTCACATATACCGTGGGCACACCTTTTCGCGCAAGTATTTTGAACAGAATGCATCGATCGACAGAAGCGAACGCACTCTTGAAATCGAGGAACACAGCTATTGTCGGTCTGCGGTATGCGTGGCGCTGCTCTAGCACCTGCCGCAGAGTGAATATTTGGTCTATACAGT